CAATGAGAAAATTAGGGTTTCTTTTCTTACAGGAGTTGATTTTTTCCGTCACTGCTAATCAACAATTGGATCATTCGAGAGCCTGAAAACAAAATAAGGATGATTATTCAATCAAAACATAGAGATACATATATAAATTCATATATATACTTGTATAGAGAGATTTTTAGGAGAAAAAAATTATCCAAAAAAAAGTACAGATAATGTGTACGTAGAGAATGAGATTGTGCGAGAGAGACAAAGAGATTGAGAGATCGACAGAGAAGGAGATAGAGACAAAGATCGAGAGAGAGAAGAATCGACGAAACTGAGATTGGATTGAAATCGAAATTGAAATCGTGCATATGGTTAGTAGACGATGCAAATGCAGATGGTGATGGCGGTGACGGTGGAGCTTTGAAATCAAAATCATTCTGAGATTGGATCGACCGAATGATGAATCACAGAGCTGAAGAAGGTTGAATCAAGTTGAAGAACTGACGGGTTTAGAGAGAGAGAGAGAGAGAGAAAGAGAGAGAGAGAGAGAGAGAGAGAGAGAGAACGAGTGAGAGATTTGAGGGATCGGTTTCTCTGAGACTCTAGGGTTTCTCAGATTCAAATAAGTTGTGAGAGATTTGAGGGTTTGAAGAGAGAGAGAGAGAGAGAGAGAGAGAGAGAGAGAGAGAGAGAGAGAGAGAGAGAGAGAAACACTGTAACACATTTGAAGGCGCTTTTCAAACGACTTCATTACTTAAACGGTATTGATTTAATAAAAACAAAATGTGACGTTTATAAAAAGTCGTTAAATATTAGAAATAGTGGCGTTTAAAAAAATGCCGTTAAATCATCTATTTTCTGTAGTGATAACTATTCAAACTAGTGTGATTTTCTCCTAAAATATAAATTTAGTTTTTTGTTTTTGTACTAAATCTAAAATTAGGATTTTTGGACTTTTGAATGGCTACAGGACTAAAGGAATTATTACAAATTAACTTAGACTAATTAGTACATAAATATTGAAAATACATTTAACATATTTTTATATATAATTTTACACATTTTGATATATTTTATGCAATTATTCAATATATATACCAACATTAATAAGGGTTGATGGTTAAATACTTTTATTTCTCATTTACTCTCAGTTAAAATCAAACTGGAGCGTACTGTTGGATTCCGTAGCTCCACAATGGAGCCCACATTAATGATTCAAACCATTCAATGTATAGAGCTCGTTGAGTATTTTATCCTTGCAAAAAATCACATTGATCGGATATCGATAGCCACTTGATCAAATTAAATTTGTGTCAACGGTAATTATAATTTAAAAATAAATTGTTAACACAAATGTGACTTGATAAAGTGGCAATTGATATTTGATTAACGTGATTTTTTACAGTAATAAAGTACTCAACGACCATTACCTATTGAACGGTTCAGATTGTCGATGTAGGTTCTGTAGAAAATGCACGGAGGCCTAATAATACGCTCTAATTGGAAAACTCAACTGGGGGAAAAAATTTCCCCATTATTAGCATCTTCAAACATGTGCTATACAGGCTGACCAAATTTTCTAACTTGAAATGGAACTCCCAATCAGCAGCACTTTGCGAAACATTTTAAAAATATATATCTATATAATAAGGGAAGTGGGTTTTTGAATTTATCCTAGAGACAATTGTCCTATTAAGACATTTTAATGGTCATGATTCATTTGTGTATTTAGATGGATGACCCCCTTAACTTTCATTTGTCACTCCACGTTCTATCCTATGCCAACCCAAGACAAAGGCTTACAAACCCCAGTTTCATCTCATCATTATCAGGCATCAGCAGCCCCATTCACTACTCCACGAAGCAACGCAACCTTCGACAACGTTGCACAGGAGAGCAAACATTGCATGTTTGTTCTCTCTCTCTCTCTCTCTCTTCCTCTCGCTCCCCCTCTCCCTCGGCTACCACCGATAGCAACACTCCACAGTCGCACGCCGCTTTATGTCGCCTCCATCACTGTGTCACCTTCGATCTCCACCGACAGCAACTCTTCATTTCTTCTCCCACCACGGCGCCTCCGTCCTCCACCATCAAGAGAGAGATGAGTTTCTGAAATGGGTTTGGATTTGTGTGTGTTTGGATTTGTTAAAATAATCAATTGGTTTTGAATTGGACATGGGGGGTTTGGATCTTTACTTCTTTTTTTCCTATGGGCAGCACTGTTGTGAAAGGTAATTTGAATGAATAAAGCTTACTTTTTCCTCCTCAAACTATCTCCATAGCCATTGACACACTTATGCTATGTTTGGATTGAGTGATTTGGAGAGAAAAGAAAAGAAATGGGGAGAAATGTATTTCTCTTACTTGTTTGGATAACTTAAATTGAGAGAAATGGGGAGAAATGGGAAGAAATGGAGAGAAATGGAGAGAAACTCATTTCTCTTATAAGTCTCATTTTCAATCTTTCCAAAAGTGGAGAGATTGAGAGAGAAAAGAAACCATTATTTTCATAATATCAATTTTGCCCCTATAAAAATAAAAGAAATAAAATGATTGAAAATATAAAAAGGTTATTTTGGTAATATAACATAAAATAATTTCTTTTCTTTTCTCTTAATAAAATCTAACCAAACAAGAATGAGAGAAATTACAATCATTTCTTTTCTTTTATTTCTCCCTTATCCAAATAAAAAGGAGATAACTTACAATTATTTCTTTTCTTTTCTCTTCTCTTATAACTTAAGTAATCTTTTCTTTTCTTTTCTCTCCTAAGTTCCCAAACATAGTGTTAATCCTAAGCCCAATCTCAATCAAAGCCAAACCGAATCTCTTCAAAACTGAAACAGCAACCCCAAAGATCTTTAGGATATTTAATAAGGCCATGATTTTTGCTGTTTGGGATGTGGATTGATTTTTAAAATTTAATTTTTTTGGTTATTTTGTTGATTGATTTTTATTTTGCTGTTTGGGATGTAGATTGATTTTTAAAATTTTAATTTTTTTAGTTATTTTGGTCTGGGCTAAAAGCCTCCTTTTGGTACCGCAATCACGGAGATTATATTCTTTTCTAATTTTAGCCTAAGTTCAAATGAGACCAACCTCTTCAATTAGAACAAGAAAGATTGATAACTTTAAGAATAATAGTGTGATGCTATAAGAAAGGAACAATTTTCTCCAAAATTATTTTGTGAATAAATTTTCCATGTACTACATAAAAGATTAGATAGGAGAAGATTAAACTCAATATAATTTCCTCCATGCCTTTAGACACGAGCATACACTAGAAAATGTTGGTTTTCAAATCCACTTCAAATGTTGGTTTTCAAACCCACTAGAAAGTGGGTTTAATTTTTTTTTTTTTCAAATCCACTCTTTTTGAAAAATGTTTGTAGAAAATGTTGATTTTTTTTGTGGATAAATTTAAACTCAAAATTTAAATGGAGTTTAAATTGAGTTTTGTTAAAAAAAAATGGTGAATTTAAATTTGTATGAAAATTGAGTTAAATTGAGTTCATGAATTATGTTTATGTAGAAAATGATTTTGTGTGTGTAGATAAATTTGAACTCAAAATTTAAATTAGGTTTAAATTGGGTTATCTTTAAAAAATGATCATAAAAGTGAATTTTGAGAAAGAGAAGAAATAATGGGAGTGGTGTGATTTGTTCAAAAATTGAAAAGAAGAGTTTTTTTATTAATAGAATTTTGACTTCAAATTCTTATAATAAATTATATTTTTCAATTTTTACGTTAATTTTATTGGGGTGTATTTATGTTTGGGTACTTTTACAAAATTCATTTCAAAGTCAATAATAAATTATATTTTAAATCAATACTTTTAAATTTAATTATATTTTAATCTTATAATTAATTTAGACACAGATGTACACTAGGCGACACATTACTTTTATGGGTGATACATTTTTAAACTTCCAAACCAACCCTGGGGATTCGCCTGGTTAGAAACTCATACATTACTATAAATCAAAATTTTAAACTCATCAAGCTCACCATAAATTAGATTTGTACTATTTATCAGCCCATAAAATTAGTAGTTTGAAGGTGTTAAAATCTGAAGGTGTTAGAAAATATTGTCAGATAAATTATGGCTGTTGCCAAGGGTAGTTAAACTTTTTGAGCACTTTCAAGATGTTGTAAGCTTTAAAGGCTCTAGAAATTGGTTCATCAAAACGAAGACCATGCGGGCAGAATGTCATTGATTAGATGGAAAAAGCAAGCAAGAAAAATGATAGAGTGTGAAGTCCAAAGAAAAAAAAAAAAAAAAAAAACTTGGGCGACCCACTACCAACGAGGGAAGGGGGTCCAAAAATTTTACGACTTTTTGAGAAATCACAATACTATATTTATTATTATTTTTATTTTTAGAATCTTAATTTATTTAGCTTTTATTGTTTGTATATGTACTAGCGTATGTCTGTGCTTAAGGAAAATAGTAATGGTAAGACTTTGAATTCATGTTCTAAATTAAAAATAAAATAATAGTAATAATATATAATCCAAATTTATTAAAGGTGTGTACTTTATTATATAAGAATTGAATTTCACTTACACATTGATTTGGCATAAATTCCAAGGTGGAATATGTAATTTTATTGAAAGAAAAAAGAAAAGAAAAGGAGAGAGCAGACTTTGATTTCTGTATTCCTATCTCCATCATCTAAAGCAAATTTAATATTGTCCATGAATCTTGAATTTGTTGCAGAATATGTGAAGAAAATATATATATATATATATAAATATATAAAAAATTAATAATAAGAGAAGTGAGTAAAATAAATATTTTATTTTATTTATTTGCTAGTCTCCATAAATTATTTTATTAATCATTCAAAATTGAAGGTGTACTCTGGATGTGGACAATTGACTATGAATTAGATGTATAGTATATACACCAGCAGCCAAGAATGACGATACTGTCTCTCTCGAAGGTCTACCAAAACTGACCATCACACTCTGGTGTATGCTGTCAAAATTGACTATGTCGGAACGGGTTTGTTTGGTGCGAATTGTTTATTCAATTTAAAGAAAAAGACCAATATACCTACCCTCCAATGGACTTATAAACAAGGTTTCATGAGGCGTACTACTACCATACCATTTCATCAGACACAATAACCTGAAGACGATGAACGCCTCTGCCATGCTACCTCCCATTGCCCAAAGGTACGTACGCTCGCAAAAAATTCTTGCCTCGGCGTTTCATTTATTTGGTCTCTGTTACACACAACACAGCTCACAACACCATAAATATATGCATAAAATTTGATTTTATTAAGTTAATTAATATATATACATATGGACCTGGCTCCTCTCCAGGAGAGTAGAGTTTGCCATTGGTGGGCTTTATTTTAGACCTATGTCGATAATTCAAACCGTTCAATGTTTCAAATCGTTCAATGTGTAAAACCCGTCGAGTACATTATTCCTTCAAAAAATCACGTTGATTGGATATCGATAACCATTTGATCAGATCACATTTTCAAAATAATTTCAAATATAATTTTCAAAGTAAATTGCGACAGAACGATCTGATAAAGTAGTTATCAATATCTTATCAATGGAATTTTTCATGGGATTGATATACTTGGCAGGCTCTACACATGGAATAATTTGGATTATCGATATGGGCCCAGATTAGAGCCCACCAATGCCAAACTCTCCTCTCCGGGAGAGGAGCCAAGTCTTATGCATATATCTTCTATATCCATATTATTATACATGTAAAGCCTTGAGATGTTGATACAAAATCTCTCATATATTTGTCTCACATATCTCGCGTTGGTGCTAATTGTTTGAGCTACCTGTTAGTCTCTGCTGATTGTATTGATGTATTGAAGTTTGATTTATCTGTTAGTCTCACAAAAAATCAATCACTAACTATTATATAAAAGATAAATAATGACAAAAGTAAGAGAATAAATAAGAGCCTAAATATATATATATATATACATATTTTAAGCAAGCCAAATAGATAATGACCACTTATTATTATTATGATTATTATTATTATTATTTTCAAACAATATATAGATAGACATACACAAACAAAATGGTTTAGTGATAGTAGCTGAATAGAATAGCATAGATCTTATAGTTTCAACAAATCAATAACATATTCTTCATCTTCCTCTTCTCTCTCTCTCTCTCTTGCTTCTCTATTTTCTCTCTTTATCTTCCCTCTTCTCTCTATCCTTCTTCCCCCATTTTCAGCTTTTTTTTGTATGTTTTTTTCGAAAGAAACAGTTTGTAACCGTTACGTAACGGTGCGTAACAGGCCGTTACGGCTGTTACGGCACCGTTACGACTGCTACGGCAGCCGCAACGGCCGACACACCTGTGAATCTCAATCACACTGCAAAAGCGGTCGTAACGGATGGCGGTAACCGCCAAAACCGTTACGTAACGGCGTTGCGGCCGCTTTTTAAAAACTTTTCGGACCCATGTCGATAATCCAAACCGTTCAATGTGTAAAACCCGTCGAGTACATTATTCCTTCAAAAAATCACGTTGATTGGATATCGATAACCATTTGATCAGATCACATTTTCAAAATAATTTCAAATATAATTTTCTAAGTAAATTGCGACAGAGTGATCTGATCAAGTAGCTATCAATATCCTATCAATGGAATTTTTCGCGGGGTTGATATACTTGACAAGCTCTACACATGGAATAATTTGAATTATCAACATGGGCCCAGATTAGAGCCCACCAATGCCAAACTCTCCTCTCCGGGAGAGGAGCCAAGTCTTATGCATTTATCTTCTATATCTATATTATTATATATGTAAAGCCTTGAGATGTTGTTGATACAAAATGTCTCATATATTTGTCTCACATATCTCGCGTTGGTGCTAACTGTTTGAGCTACCTGTTAGTCTCTGCTGATTGTATTGATGTCTTGAAGTTTGATTTATCTGTTAGTCTCTGCTGCTACTCTCTGGTTTTTTGTGTATTTTTTCATCTTGGTCTGATTTTGTGGCAGCATCTTTTGCTCTGTTTTGTTGGTTCCTCACCAACTGGTGCTTGGAGCTTGTGATAGCTCCAAGCTCCTCTTTATTGATGTCATTTATCATATCTTGTATGTTTTCATCAATAAAGATTTCCTTTGTTGATCAAAAAAAGGAAAGAAAACCCTCAACACATGTTTCCAATACTACTATATATGTGAAACCTTAGGATGCAGGATAAGGGTTGAAACTGAAATTATGAATTTGGCAAAGAACATATTATGTGTGCATTTCTCTTTATCATTATTCTTATACTGTTATATATATACAAGTTTGAGCAGTTTTACACTTAGTATTACAATGGTAACAATTGATTGAATCGTCTGACACATTATCATTCGACAACTAAACACGCTTGTTAACGGATTGAATCAATCACTTTATAGATTTCATCAAGTGTTTGATCTGAGAAGACTGAACAGAAATGTTTGATTCCGAGGTTACAAAACTTGATCTCAAATTTATTTCTTTACACAGCACATATGTTTTGAAATCCGTGAACTCTCATCTATGATTTTGGGGGGATCTGCATTGGTTGCAAATTCTTATCATTTTGATTTTAATCAATTAAGGTAATTCAATTTGTCTTAATAGATGGAACAATGATTAAACCGTCGTAAAATTTGTCTATGGTCTCAACTTTGGAGAAAAGAGCGTATTTTTCAAGAAAAATTACTTCATTGAAATTGCTAAAATGCTATAGACACAAAATTTGCAAATACAAAATACCCTAGAAAATTAATAAATAATTCAAATCCATTGTAAAGTTATGTTTGGATCGTAAATTTGGGTATACATTTGAAAGGAAAAAAAAAAAAAAGTGGGTGAAATATTTCATTCACATTTCACCTATCTTTTTTTTTTATCTTTCCAAATCTCTACTCAAATCCATGATCTAAGCGTAGTATAAATGTATGTCCTATCTAACAAAAATTAAATCTAAACCACATGTTATATATCCAACTAATTTTTTGTCTATGAATTTGGTGCACTTATCTTTTTCTGTTAAATTGCAGGCTAGAAGGTAAGGTTGCTGTAATTACCGGTGGTGCTAGCGGCATTGGCGAGACTACTGCCAGGCTTTTTGTAAGACATGGTGCCAAGGTGATTATCGCCGATGTCCAAGATGACCTTGGACACTCCCTCTGTGCAGACATTGGTTTAGAAGAAGCAATTTCCTTTGTTCATTGTGACATTACCATTGAATCTGACGTCCAAAATGCAGTAGACACTGCCATTGCCAAACACGGCAAGCTTGACATAATGTTCAACAATGCAGGAATTACTGGTCGGAGTGATCCCAGAATCACAGCAGGAAATAGTGAAGATTTCAAGAGGGTGTTTGATGTGAATGTCTTTGGTGCATTCCTAGGAGCCAAACATGCTGCTCGAGTTATGATTCCAGCAAAAAAAGGCACCATTTTGTTCACTTCAAGCATGGCTTCTGTGATTTCCGGTCAAGGCTCTCATGCCTACACAGCTTCAAAAAATGCAGTTGTAGGTCTTACCAAAAACTTGTGCGTCGAGTTGGGGCAGCACGGGATTAGAGTCAATTGCATCTCTCCTTTTGCTTTGGCTACACCAATGATGTTAAGTAATTTGACACTGGGATGTGAGGGCAAGCAAAAGGCAGAAACGGTGGTTTCTGAGGCGGCAAACTTGAAGGGGGCGGTGTTGGAAGGCAAAGATGTGGCAGAGGCAGCGTTGTACCTAGCAAGCGATGAATCCAAGTACGTGAGTGGGTTGAACCTTGTGGTTGATGGGGGTTACAGCACTACCAATCCATCTCTCGGGGAGGCTCTCAAGAAATTGGCCATGTTTGTTGCAACTTAAGAATTGTAATTGTTAACTTTAAACTTTAGGTACATCATATATAATAATTGAACTCATGTTATCATGCTTATTTTTTTCGTAATAAATGTTTCTGCAACCCAACAATGATGGTCAATATCAAATGACAAAGTCATATTTTACCCAATTCACTAATCAATCATATTTGAAGGAAAAAAAAATAAAAACTTAAAAAAGAAGAAGAAGAGAGTAATCATAGTTACTCAAATGGAAACGATTTTGGATCGGATGTCTTGAATTACGAGTCACGTGTAGAAAATTTTTCGTCAATTGAGAAGCTATTAGAATTTCTCAATGTTGTATCCACACTCCAAATTCCTAGGTTCAATAATAGTCACCTAGGAGAGAGGAATAGAGGGAGAAATATTTTTCTATAGAGATTTTATAGGTAAAACTCTTACACTCAATAATGCGCATTATTTTTTCTCTATATCACATATATAGAGGATCTCTCCTGATAGAGGTAGAGTTGTAATCTCCTACAATAACTCAAACACTTCTTTAGATAATTCCCTTAATTATTTTATATTATAAATCATGTGAATTATCTACAACCTATGTGGATACTCCATTATGGGTTAGGTCAAATCCGACCAAATTTCCAACATCTCACTTGTCCACATCATTGGTTATACTCACAGCCGTCATTTTTCAATCTCTCATTTAATCCACTTCTCATACGGAAAAAAGAGAGCGTGCAACCTGGTGAAAAGTTATAAGGTAAGAGCGCTATATTAAGCCACCGTGAACTAACATAGCACATCACTCAAAATATCTCTTTTATACCCTAGATTCAATGGATCATACCACAGATCAAACATTTTAAAACCCCTCGTGAGTCATAGCTCGTAAACATGTTTGACCCCTGTCACGCTCCGTATTTTATAACTCGGATAACATTATAAATATTCATTAATTAAGTCCATTTACAAATGCCAATTCATCTTTTGATGAATTGATAAATAAATAAATATACATGTTTCCTCTCGTTACACAACAGTGTCATTTACATACAAATAAAAGAAATGCCTGAGGCTTACATCCATATTACATACAAGAAAAATACTGATCTCTGAACTACAAGCCTCAAAATAAAATCATAAGACTGCACAAGAAGGAAATTCTATGTCCTGATTTTTGAAATCTTCAATTACCTGTAAAGTTCATCAACATGGAATAAGCACTAATGCCCAGTAGGAATCTCATAATTCTAAAATAATAATTAACACATAAATAGAAATGATCATGCATGCAGGGTGATGCTATATAATAAGGTGATGTTTTGTATGCCTAAAATATTATACTTAGAATATCATTTTCTCAAAATTCATTTGAACATTCAATAAAACTTTCCGCCATAAATATTATCTTTCATCATCAGAAAAACCATAAGTATTCTTCGAAAAACAAGTATACTTAATAAACAACATCATTTTAAATTTGTTAATCCAATTCCATGACATTCCTCGTTTCATTTCTATTTTACAATTCATATATACTATAACTCTATAACATTAAAGTCCAAGTTCCCCTTATATTCAAAAACAATCGTCGTACACTCTATTCCCACTTGTCTATCTTTTACATCGCATCAATATTTCTATCATCAATAGTAATTCAACTTAAATCAAGAATATAAACCCCTTTCAATTCAATTTCTCAAATATCTAGAGTTGATTTCAAATCCCTCTTTCAAGCAAACATTCATCTTCAATTTATGAAACAAATCATCAACCTAGATTTTGAATATATATTGAAAGAGGGATTTAAAACCCTAGATTCAAAATTTTGGTCTATAGTGGGTTTTTCCTTATCTTTTTAACAAAATCTCCAAATCATCAAAGATTACTCATCAATTCATCAAAATACTCAAAACATTTCAAACTTGAGTGAAAGCCCCATTTTTCTCTTTTATATATTTCAAAACAAAATTTCAACTCATACACAACTATAATTATGAAGATGCCACATAAACACACCAAATCATAGATATACAAAGATAAAGGTATTCCTATTTCGTTCTTTTCTCCCTTCCTTTCCTAAAACATCTTATTAAGAAGACTCATCATTTATAAGATTAAAGGATTCATTCCTCATAAAATCATTCTTCACAAGTTCACACAAGATTCTTCATTTTTACTTGAACTTCCAGCCTAAATAGACCAAAATTACTATAAGTCCACAATCCTTAACTCAAATTGATATTACTAATATTCACAAAATAAAACTCATAATCTTCACTTATGGTCACAAAACAACCAGGTGAGTTCATCATCATCAACCCCTTACCCAATTACCATTTCATTTTCCATTCTTTTCAAGTAATTTCTATATGCATTTCTCCTCTATACAAAATCGCACAACAAATTGTAATTTTATAAGTTCATTACGAGTCATACACATTATCGTTGACTCAACACATTTTTCAACACATTTCTCAACACGGTCCACCTTTTGCCGGCTTGATATGTCGCGGTAGAGGGCACCCAACTCACAACACCTTCCACCTTTTGTTAGCTTGATACAACGGGATAGCAGGCACCCGACATTTATGTTTTTTCACATTTGCAGCTCGATAAGGTGGGCAATTCAACACCCAAAAATATTTCTTTTTCCACATTTGCCGGCTTGATACGGCGGGGTAATTAGACACCCAAAAATATTTATTTTTCCATATTTGCCGACTCCAAAAACGATGAGGACGTAGACACCCAAAACCATGTTTTTCCACATTTGTTGACTTTAAAAATGGTGGGCTCGTGGACACCCAAAAATATTTTTCCACATTTGTCCGGTGATATGCACAGACAGGGCAATTTGGCACCTTGACTCCCCGCGCGGGTACCAATTACAATACAACACAACACAACCTAACAAAACTCAACAAAACTCACCATAACTCAACTCAACTCAACACAACACAACTCAACGCATTTCTTAAATCTCCACTTCATCATTTCATCACAAATCTTATATCATCAATACAATTCACAATTCAAAATCCCCAAACTTAATCTCATCACATAGCACAACTTAGAATATCAATAACAAAAGTTCAATTGCAATTTTTACATGGATTTTCCAAACATTTTCAAAATTTAATTAAATATGGATATGTGCAATTTAACACCTCAACTTCATGATGCCACTTTCAATTTAAGTAAAAACCATTAACCATCTTTATGAGCCAGAATTGAAGCTTTTCACAAAAACACTTTTTATTCCAACTCTTCTATTCATCAATCACCCAAATTCATAACCCAACCCAAAAAGGTAAACCCCAGAACATCAAACCTAAAACTCCAATCTCATGATTTATCACAAAATGAATAAAAGATAAATTTTGTATAAGGAAAAATATCACAAATCTATCCATAAGTGAAAATATTGAAAGTGAACTAGAAATTCCTACCTGAAAAGAAGAAAAGATGAGAAAACCTGTAAACTGACTGCTCAACACTCGGCACAAGACCTACATATCACACATAGCATGTACTTGAAGATTTAGAACATAAACGATGCAGCGAACGGCTTAAACCTAACTTTAACTTTATGCTTAGCTCAAAACATTGCTAACATGCTCTTAGAGTGCTAAATGCAAGTTCTAGATGTCTCGAGGGGTCCCTTATGCAAGAAAACAAGAAAAGCATGGTCAATTAAAACTTAATCCATGAATCAAGCCTAATTTAATGATTTCTGCTTCGTAAATTTGAACATAAAACTCATGTTCAAAATAATCTTCTCAAACTCAAATTAACCAACCTCCATAGAGTCCCAAAGCTCCAAAAATAAGTAAAATAATTTCAATTGAGAGAATAATTGAAGATTCAAAACAATCTCCAAGTTTTTTGGTTTGTAAATTTAACATGAAAACTCATCTTTAAAAATCATCAACAAACTTCAAATTTCTTTCATAAAATGAGTCATAAGGTTATAAAAACATGTTAGATAACATCAATTGAAAGATTTATTTAAGATTCAAAACAAATTTTCGAAATCTCTCATTTACTAGTTTAAACATGATGAAACTTTCTTGAATCTTCAAATACACATGCAACAAATGCTATGAATACTACCAATGCAAGATTTCTACCTTAAATCTACAATAAATGTAATGATACATGGATGGTTGTGAGTGATTGCATGAGAATCTATCTATTCCAAACCCTAGCATACAAAACTCATGAAATCTCTCCTCAAAACTTCCATATACATGCAATTGATCTTACAAAACAAGATTGATGCATGATTTCTCTCGTAAAATCATGAAAAATGCATGAATACAAGCATGAAACACAAGATAGATGCATGAACTCATCAACCTCAAACCCTAGATTGCAAAGTTCCATAAACTTCCCTACAAAACCCAAAACACGAGCTCTAGTATGTGAATCCATGCAAAACAAGATCAAAACATGAAAAAGATGGAGAAATCTTACCTTAAGATAAAGAAATCAAGAAGCCGTAACTTTTCCTCTTCCTTCTCCTCTCTCTCTCTAAGCTCTCAACATAAAACACACATGCTATACCAACTCACTCTACATCTCTATTTAACCAAAAAGATGATTAAATCATCCAAACAATGCCTTAACTTACCAAATTAAAATTAACATAAAACAACTCATCAAACTAATTAAATATAGTTAATCTAATCATATACAACCCTTAATTACACAATTAAACTTGAATTAGGCTCATACTGATTAAATTACAATTATTCAGTCATATTTAATCAAAAACTTATAAACATATAAATTTTGCAGTTAAACATGAAATAATCATTTATATATAGATTTCATAGCTATAAATTAATCTCACACATGTCAATTTAGATTGTGAAGTCTCGTACAAAATTTCTAAATCAATTTAAAAATTAGCGAATCAGACAAATTTGTCACATCATAAATTAAATTATCATACATGCAATTAAACATGAGACATGACTCATATGTGAATAACATGATTATAAATCAATCCTATACATGTCAAATTAAATATTTAAGGTCTCATATTAGCTCTTCTGAATTGGAATTAATCTCTTTATCACATAATTCACACAACACTTATACTAACACATGAAAAAG